TGTGAAAATATGAAATCAGAAAAACTACTTTAGCCAGAATTGCATCAAAAGAAGCAAAACAAGATAAGGATAAAGGAATACAGGAAGAAATAGAAATTATTTACATTGATATTCTACCTAATTACAAAGACTTGGGTGAGGTTTTCAGAAAAACTATTAATTTTGCATTTGAGAAAAATATTTCTTTCACAGAACAATTAGAATAAAAACTCTTAAGTATAATTAAAGATAATAAACTAATACATTAGTCTTAATTGTTGCTAATTAATGCTTTTGACATGATTTTTTTTTTACAGATAAGTCTGAAATTTCTAAATGGAAAAGAACTTTAAGAGTCTTCAAGCTTGCTTCTGCTATCTATAAAGCAAAATATAACAAACCTCTAGTCATTGTCTATGACAATATCAGCCAATTAGTATATTATTATCTGAAAATACTCAATACTCTACAGGATGATGCAAAAGACAATACTAATGAGTAAAAGTATATTGCTATATTTATCAGTAATAATGGTTTAATCCCAAGAAGAATAGAATATAAGTATAAAGATTTTTTATACTTTTAAAAATATTACAAAGTGTAATGATTTTTATTTTAGCCTGCAATGTCTGGTCACATGCAAAAAAATCTGTTATAGAAATAGGTGATCTTAGTGAAAAGAAATCAATAGAATATCTGATTAGCAAGCACAAAATCAATGAAATAGAAACAAAAAAAATTTATGTATTAGTTGGTAGTTGCATTGTTGAGTTGAAGACAATTGCAAATGATTTTTTGGCCAGAAAATCCTTTGAAGGTATTATTATTTTGCTAAATAAGTTTATGCAACCCTGCTTCATATTAATTGTTTAACTCTTTGCTTTTTTTCTGCAGTTATTAAATGGACAATTTTAGATGAAGTGAAGAAAAAATTCAATGCTACATGACTTCTTCTAAATGATCAATATTACAAAATAAGAAAGAGGCTTATTAATAATTTATTGAAGTTTAATAAGCTTGGTTTTTGGAATTTATAAAATATTTTAATAATAAGGATGATTTAAATGAAGTGTTGGGAGGTAATGTATTTGCATACTATCCAGAAAAAAATATTGTGAGTTTCCAATCTTGATCAGTAGAATATTATGTTCAGAAAAAGTCAAATATATTTATTAATGCTAGATTTTTATATTTTTAATGATATACTATGTATAAAAAGTCACATAGAAATTTACAATACATATTTAGTATTAGCCAGTGTTGGGCAATATGGACATTTGGACTTATTAAAAAAAATATGGACAAATATGGACATAGTTATTTATGGACATG